CTTGAGGCACTGCTGAACGGATCGTTTCATCCTGGTATGAAACTCATCAAGAGTATGCATTCACGACTCCTACTACTCGCAGAATTTGTTACGCCTGCACGTAAACACGTCAACTTGATATACTTGAACTATTACGAGTTTATCAAGTCGGAAAACGAGAGCGAGGATCGAGGATCCGGCGACACGACATACTACTCAAATCTAATTACCCCAACCCCCATATTGAGTAAAAATAAGAAGACTTGATATGAAGTAGAACCTGTATTCTGCAAGTATTCAGAAAGTACGAGGTCCGAGTCCAGAAGAGAATCAGGATCCCAGGGAATCAGGGATCCGGGACCGGGGTTCTGGTCCTGGTCCTGGTCATAAAATGTTACAGAAAACGCGTATTTATATATTTTGGTCGAATAGGATACAGCATCGAAATCTGTGACATTGACAGTTAAGCTGACCAATAGGCAGCAACATTTGAATTGACATTGTTAGTCAGGACAACCAATAAGAAACAACATTGGAGCACGTGACATTGATATTTAGGACGACCATAAAATTGACCAGTAGGAATGAACCAACAGAAATTGACCAATAATTCTCTTAGGATATTGGATGAATGTCTTAACAGAATTTGAATACAGGACATTACCACTGTTGAATGTTGGCCCAGTGTTCCGGCGTTTAGACATTCGCGAGCAAGACCAAAGTATCCCGGGATCGAATCCTGAGAGGTACAGGAGTCGTGAATGCGCTCTGCTAGTCAGTCTGATACAAGGACAAAACGGCCGTCCAAAGCTAACAGGTTTCTAACTGTGGTCTAACAATTACACCTTTACATGAAACCAGTCTTTTGAGACCATTTCTGACAGATGTATGAGTATATGCATATTTTTAGAATATACACTGAATTTACATAAACTCAGTGTCTAGAATATCTGTAAACTTGCAAACGCTGTTTGTAAAAAATAAATCAATTTGTTGTAAGATACCCAGAAAATATGATTATCGTATTACTTTCAATAGGGATTAAATTTTAAATCAGAATAAAAAGTATAACAATACTCAAACAAATAAAAACGAAGTATCATATATTTGAAACGTTGATAGAAATCTAATCCAGTTCACTAATCTTCATTACTTTCCAGTGTGAACATTTGCCCAGTCTAGATAAGTGAAAAGTGAAACAAATCAGAGACATTCGAAAACATTTCATCGTGAAATAAAAACTATAAATAAAGGTAGCTCAGAAATTCATATCTTAAACCGTACGAAACAATGTTGGTTAGAAATGGTGAAGGAAACTTTTAGCTCAAGTGGATGGTTGTGGTGAAGTTTCGTTTCTCTGAGCTCCACAACCAAAACATCCAACTCAGAGAATGAAACGCCTCCACCACAATGTTGGTTAGCTATTTTACTTCGATACATACATCATTTCAACGCCTGAAGTTAGGGAAATTAAAATATTTTAGTTAACTTTTTTCATTGAAGATAACCATCTAACCTTTTAAGTGAGAAAACCATAGTTACAAAATTGATTTACAATTAATATTTACATTCAGTAAAGATCTGAGGTTTAAGGTCAACAGCAACCAATCAGGATCAAGGTTAACAGAACAAGGTACGGGTCAAACGTAGAGATATTTGAATACTTCACTTCTCTCTAAAGAAGTTTGTGCTGGTGGTGTTTCTCAGAAGAAGAACAATGAAAGCTCCAAGACCAAATCATCCAGCTCTGAGAAAGAAATACCACCACAATAAACAGCTCAATTAAGAACTAGGAAATCATGGTTGATTGTCAATATTTATATGTAATTTATTCATACATTTTTCTATAAGTATTTTTTTAATCGTAATTTAGTGTAGTTTACACAGAATTTATGTACGTGTGAGGCAGATTCACGACACTTCATATTGTTGGGCAGACAGACTGATGACGACTATTGAACATCACATGACAGTACCACATATCAATATGATGTGCTTCCATTTTCATAAATGGATGGTTGAAAACATGGGATTCGACATCAAAACTTATAATCATATTATTAGCATAGATAGATGATGGATATTATGAGCTGTTTGTTCTATATAAGACTCTTCTGTCTCATCTCACTCCGGGGCTCGAACCCAGTACCGTTGGCTTGAAACATGTCATCATGCTATCCACTGAGCTACTGAGCTCAGATAGCTACACGCTAGTGTAATGGGATAAAAATTAGCTAGTATAAATAGATCAATTTTCATCAATTTTTTAAATGAAAGTGCGTTAAAAATTACTTTAATAATCAATAAATTATATAGGTATTCGTAAATTATTCTGTTTTTGAAGATATCTTTCATTTACAGTTGACATTTATTTCATCTGGGGTTTTCTAACAGATAGTTGAGTTTATCTTGCTTTCGAAGTGATCAGCAAACAGATTTCCTAATTTTTTTTCAATAGATATCCCCTTTTTTTCAGTCAAGACATGATTTTCAACGACCTAGATATTCGTACCGTTTATATTAGTTAGTGCAATGAATTTACTATATATTTTCTTCTTAAAAATGGAAAAACAAGCGTTACTTAGTCGATCATTTCAATTGTCACTTTCGAAATGGTGGAGAAAACATGTAGCTCAGGTGGATGATTGTGGTGGTGTTTCGTTCTCTGAGCTCTTTGTTTTGGTCGTGGAACTTTCATTGTTCTTCTTCTGACCAACATCGTCAGCACAAACTTTTTCAGAGAGAAGTGAGTGAAGTATTCAAATTTCTCCACGTTTGACCCTGTTAACCTTGATCTTGATTGGTTGCTGTTGACCTTAATCCTTAGGTATTTGCTGAATGTAAATATTAATTGTTAATATAACAGTTTTTTATTCATTAATTTTGTAATTATAGTTTTCTCATTCAAAGGGTTGAATGGTTATCTTGAATGAGAAAAGTTAACTGCAATATTTTCACAACCAAAACAACTAGCTCAGAGAACGAAACACCACCACAGTTGTGACTTTCTCAAGAATAAATCCAACTTATGCGAGTAGATTAGTTTTGAAGAATAGTTACTTCAAGCTACTCGATAACAAGCTATAATAAGTTTTCAAAAACATGTATATTTCTATAGGATTTTATAAGCCTACTGAGTCGCAAACTAACCAACGAACTATGCAAAGAAATCTTGACCAGAAAAACCTATTGTTCTAGTAAAATAAATTTATAGCCATTTAAAAAATCATTATCCGCTTATGGAGATTGTTATATTCAACTGAAATCAATGTTTAAGAACACCGATGAAGGTCTGAAGGCACCGAAGAGTCGTTGAATCTTTGTATAGAACTCTTCAGCAGTACATATCTATGGCTGCTTACGCGGAAATCAAACCCAGAACTTTTTGGTCTCGCTCATGAACGTTCTAGACCTATGAATTGGTATTTAACGAAGTAAATGTCTAAATTAATTCAGTCCACTGGATTTCAAACATGACGACTGTGAGGAATTAACGCACCACTATATCATGGATTGATCGAATATTGACTTGAACAGTGTAAGATACAACTCGGGTGATCTAGAGTTTAAGCATTCATGCGCGTGAACCAATGTTCAGAGTTCAGTTTCCGCGTCGAGGGTCATGGATGCTTACTTATGAGGAGTCCTATACCAAGCCGAAACGACCATTCAGTGCTGCAATAATGTTATAACATTTATTTCAATGAAACATTTCAATGTATAAAACAAGTCTTCATTCCCTATGTTTTTTCCATAAAGTCTCCTGATTAAATACTAATAATTTGATCAATATATACATTAAACAAATCACAAGTTTCCTAAATTATTTTCATCAATAATCAGAGATATATAAATTAAATTGATAAATAGTGTTGATTTAAAGTGACTGTAAATATTGAACGATACAATTTAAGACAATTCAGTATAAAAAATAATAAATTTGAAATTATTGAACTGCTTCACTATGGCTAAGTGAATTACATCACGTCACATAATTTGTAATGATTAGTTCTATAGTTAGGAAAAATAGCGTAGAATAGAATACATGAATCGCTTGAAATTTTAAAAAGTGTTACAAAAGTAACACCAGTAACAACCTGTGATTGTATTCTCCTACTCCACATATATAAATAACTTTACTGAATATTGATGTGAAACTTTAGAAAACAGAATCGATAATTGCATTCAAAGATGATTTATGCAGCGGAGCTTCACACAATCCTAAATGGACATAAATGATGGATATGTTTCAGTGCTTCAACATTTTAACCGTTCGCTAGTAGAACAGTCAAGCATAACAGATACATGAAAAACAAGAATACGTGAACTGACAAACACTGTGGCTGGTTTTATTTACAATTGTAATATCCAACCAGATACTCACGTACACAAATCAATAATAATCTAGTCATTTACAACACTAATTACATAATACTGTACCGATTTGGCAATTTAATTACATTGAAAATTGAGAACAATTACTTAATCAGTTTGTTAGTTTTAAAACTCCAGTTGATATTTACGAAAAAAATTGTAAGTGTTAATTATTAGTCAATACATTGATCAGTCAAATCTGGTCTAATCAACATTTACAATTGAATATTGATTGCATAATTCTTGATCAATTTTCAATAAATATACAAATACTTGTTTGAAAAAAAAACGCACTAAACATTGAACAAATCAAATTACTTCGTCTTCATCTTTTCATCTAGTACGTAATCTCTGTTGATTGAGTAATTTCACAGTACAATAATGTTATTACAGAGCATTTTGAACAACGTGTAATTTTATATTTAAAAAACTTCCTTTACTTATGAATAGTTAGATACGGAACATTTTCAACAACGTGTAATTTTCTTTCAAAAAAATTTCTTTACTTCTAAATAGTTAGTTACTTTTCAAAATTGTACAAAACTTGCAGTTTGTTTAAAATTTCACCAATGTATAATCATTACGAGACTGTGTATTTGATTATCATTATTACAACTGATTTAATTCTCTCTATTATTCTCAACGTTGTTTTCTTATTTTGTTCAATGTCCAATAAAAAATTTGTTTAAATGCATTCGGTTCAATGTTCAATTCAATCACAATTGATTGTTTTTATTCAATAAATTACATTGATTATTATCGTCATCATTATTTTCGTCAGGATTTAATGATTGTTGTATAGTTTTTTCATTTTTCACTGATATCAATGATGAGGTTATTACATTTTGCCCAGGATATTGTTGACGATATTGTATAATAGTTTGTTGATTCGGTAATAGTGTCGATGTTTTCATCATAAATGGACAAAATATATTACAAAATGTTTGACGAAATTGATATGACATGGTAGTATAAATAATAAAACTTATGGATTCATTTAATAAAGTAAGAAAATCCAATAAATCGCCTAAATGTTGATAAACATTCTCTTCAAAACTATCAATTAAATGTATACATGTCACTAAAATACCTTGAGGTAATTCAATCACTAGAAAGCATAAAACTATAGTCAATAGCAGACCAGTTGTACGATTTTCACGACTTAATTTTTTACTCTCATCATTACTAATATTATTAATATTAATATTAATATTATTAGTAGTAGTATTATTAATATTCATATTATTATAAAATGGAATTGTCGATGGATTAGTGTGATTTTTTTTAAAAATATTCAATGATTTATCACGATTAATGAATAGAATTTTACGACGTTTAATTGCTTTTTGTAATTCACTAATTAACAGAATGGTTAATATAGTCAACAGGAATGATGGAGCAATCTTAGTAATGACAGCTTGTAGCCATACATTGAAATTATGCAGTTGTTTTGTTCTCCATCCACTGGACTGTTTGACGTTCAGTTCATCGAAATCTGGTTCTGATGTAATGTAATAATAAATTTGTACACTTTTATTATTCAATGTTTCAACAGGTGTATAGCTGTCACGCATTTTCGGTCCAACACATGATCCAGAATGATTGACTAAAACATTCGGTACTGCTACAAATATACAAAATAATGTTGTCAGCAAAGCAGATAACAATGCTCTTCTACGTGTTGTATACCTGGAACTAGATACTGGGAAACCGACATGAATATAACGAAACAGTGCTAATAGGACAGCTAACCATAGTGCTAATGAATGCAGCATCAATGCACAACTGACCACAATTTCTTGATAAATAATCCATAATTTACTGGGTGTAAATATTGGATTTTTCATTGGGTGTGGATGTACAATGTAGAAATGATATAAACATGGTGCATAGAGTATCATTAATAGGAGATCAGCTACAGCTAACCATAATAATAAATGATTTGTAGCAGTCTGAGCTAATTCACGTCGTGTCAATACAATGATATTTACTATATTGGCTGGTATACCGAATGTACATACAGCTAAACTTAATGGACCATGGATTTTACTGAATTGATTGCCAAATTGTACAAGACCATAATTGATAATGTGGTCGTTATTGTGAGAGAAATTATTCCATGGTTGTGTTGTGTTGATAAATACCGCCGATAAAGACGGAATACATTCATTCATTTGGAATTATTAATTTTTTGACTTTTTTTACATTGATTTGAAGATTTGAATTAAACTGTATTATTATTATTATTCCTAATAATTTTGATTTGATTTGTGTACAATGTGAAATATTGACAATTTTGTATTTGGCGAAAAAAAATTCTATCACATTTAGAAAATTTATATAGTGTATTTTTAAAATAATTAATTTTAACCAATCAGATTTTTATGATTTGTTAGCATAGAAATATCCAATCAAATTCAGAGAAAATTGATGAATATTTTAATTAAAGTTTATTGTCTAAATATTTTATGATTATTAGAGAATGTTCAGGTTTCGACAGTGTGATTAAATTGTTCCCGTTAAAACGAATATTGGAGATCTTGAAGAGCATTTTAATTGTCTATTAGTAAGTAGTCTCTCTCAAAGTGAAAATAGTTCTCAGGAGTATCTCAGCCAGTCAGATAGTCAGCTACAACGTAGGACGTGCAACGTAAATACTTTAGTTCAAGTTATCAAACTACATTCCAACGAAGAATGTAGTAGTAGAGGTAGTAAGAGTAAGAGCAGTAGCGGGAGATTGAATGCAAGATGTAAGTAACATTAGATTTTTCTTGAGGTTATTTAGTAAGCCTAACAATTTCTCATTATTTTTGATCGAGAGAATTAGTTAATGCAATTTTTCGTTGTCCGGAAGTCAGTAAACACCTCTATTTTTAGAAACGATAAAATTAACAAAAATGTCAAAATATTTATTACTGGAATTGTATAAAAATTATCATTAACCCTAATATGATTTTCTGTACTGTAGTCGGACAAATTTTATTTCATAAGTTTCGCACTTCAACGCATAGATATCGACATTTTTTGACTCATTCTTATGCATACAAATGAAACTCTCGAACATAGATAATAAAACTAAGGTTGGGAAGTATATAAAACGACATATTTTAAATGTTAGCACTTATGTATCAGAACAAAGTACTTTAAGGCTGACATGGAACTTTGTGATTTGAAAAGCTTCAGAATGACTTGGTAAATTTTAGTGACAATTTTCATTGTGGATTTAATCAAGACAGGCCACATTTTCTTTAGTTATTTTACAGAATTAATTGAGAAGATTCTATATAAAACTCTGATTAGATGAAGTCAGTTCAGTATTTTTTTCTGAGCTTCTCAAAAAAACAATTCTTAAATATTTCTAACACTAGATTTAATCACTGTTTCCTTAAAAAGATCTCGGCTTTGGATAGTAAATTTCATGAATTTGGTGCCGTTTCGCTTCTCTCAGGACTCGAACCCAGGACATTCGATCTCAATGTCATACCCTCGTCGATCAGCATTGAAAAAACTATCAAATATGCATTGCTTATTTTCTTCAATGTTGAACAGCTGTAATGAATTAAGTGCTAATAAATGACCAATTAAAAGAAAAGATTCTTTTCTTACGTTAGTGATCAGGATATTATTGATTTCTTACATTAAAGTCGGTGGTTTGTCAAAACTTATTGACTTACCTTATTAAAAGAAACGTAATTTCATCAAAAGATCAATAAATCTCCATCATTTAAATCAAAACCTATTCTTAATATAATTGTGGTGTGTGCTACTTATACGAACCATATAAGTAGTATAAGAAGGGACGTGAAAGAAGAAGTCTCAAGGTCAGAAAAGGAAAACGGAAAGCAGATGGAACAAAAGCAAGAAGCAAATGGGGTAGCAACAGAGGAAGGAAAGGAAGCAACAACAACAGGAATCGAAGAAGAAGGATGAAGTGTTGGAAGTCACGACGACTCAAAGATGGTGTGCAAATAGACTGTTCAATGTAATGTTTTTGTTTTTAATTGACTAAGAGTTTAAATTTGCTTAATACAATCTTCCGCATGTGCCTCAGTCTTCTCATAATAACCACTGAATATTTAAAGGAACTAACTGGATAGGGAACTGTTCAACAGTAAAAATTCACCACTTTGCTTAGAGGACTGGAACCCAATAAGTTACATGTTTATTAACTTTAACTGATTCACAATGTTGTGCAACCTTCAATCGTTTCTAACAGTGAATAGTTTCACACTCATCACGTCTGAACTCTACGGATTACTGTTGGGGATGTTAGATCCCCTGGACTCGCTTAATAAATATCTTTATTTTGGATTTATTTCATGCTGCGATCAGTTGACCTTGAGATTACAGTTCCCATCAGAAAAATTTTCGGCTGTGATTGGTTACTGTGTCACTTTAGTGTGCTATTTTTGTGACTGTTTCAAGGACGTCTATACAGAGTATAAATAAACGTAATTTGAGTGCCTGAACTCATTGTGTGCTGGCTGGGTGTTTGTAGAATACAATTTCTTCACTATATCAAGACTTCTCGCTGATATAATTTGGTCAAGAGATCACAGTAGCCTACGTGGACGCTGTTTGATTGTTTCGTTCTCGTCATTCGACTACGGTGAACTCGTACTAGTGTAAGCATACCTAGAGACGAGCGTAACAATTACAATATCCATTTATATGATTGAATAATAACATTGTCATTCATCGTTGAAATTACCATGTTGTTCATCGAACTGACTGACAAATATAACATAAAAATCGATAATTTTATTTAATTTCCTATCACTCGAACACCGGAGACGCTCATTACTATTTCAGTTCTTATTGACAAAATTAATGCACAAAATGTTGAATTTTCTGTTTAACCGATAGTCCATAGGTTAGGCGTTTGCGTACCAATCTGAAGGTCCTGAGTTTGATTCCAACGAGTTGCAGGAATCGTGGATAAGTTCTCACTATTTTAGGATGAAATGGCTGTCCTGTGCTTGCAGGTGTTTTTATAATGATGGTCTAACATTGATCGGTTGATGATTTCAATGATAATGGAATTGCGTGAAACTTTTATGCATTGTTTAACAATTATCTTGTCAAATTGAATACATCAGGACAGAACACAGCATGATTAAACAAATTAACTATCAGATTGGGTATGAAGGCGGTTGTCACTTCACGGCTGCTCACACCGTGGAAGGTTGTTTCTTGAGGAACTTGAAAAGGAAGATAGATTAGTGTTGGTCTTAACAACCTGTGAGCGTGACCGCAGAGTCCAAGGGACAACTGCTTCAGGCCGGTCACGCACGGCTTTTTTATGAAAGGTTTTTTGAACATTAGCTTCTCTCTTTTTAAAGCCCATAGTGCGCACCCTTACTGACGGAGACGGAAATCTGTGAGATAGGGTGAAGTGTGACATTTTTAGGGTGGAACTTCACTAAGCCTTCCTTTCTTGTGAGAAGGCAGCATCGCTGTAGTGCTGGTTGCCGAGGGAAACACCTTACTGCTGTCACATCACTCTACAGTCACCAGTACGACTGCGCCCTCAGACTTTGAGTATCTGCTTTCAGTCTTAACGTTCTCCAGTTGACTTGCCTGTTATGGTGGGAACGAAAGGAACATATGTTCCAGCCAATATAGCTCGGTTGGGTCATCCCGATAAACAAATCCGATTACCACGTCAAGGTAGCAGCTTCGGTCGGGACTTGAATAATAATAGTGTCACTCATCATTGAAATTAATTTGTTGTAAATAGAACAGACCGGCAAATATTACATAAAAATCAATAATTTTATTTAAGTACAATTACCGTAGACTCACTAATTCTTAATATAATTGAACTTCGAACAGAACAAACTTTTTGCTTGTAATATATCACTCGAACACCGTACATGCTCATTACTATTTCAGTTGTTCTTATTGACAAAATTATCACAAAAATTGTTGAATTTTCCGTATAACCGATAGTCCACAGGTTAGGCGTTTGTGTACAAATTTGAAGGTCCTGGGTTTGATTCTAACGAGTTGCAAGAATTGTGGATAAGTTCTCACTATGTTAGGACGAAACGGTTATCCTGTGCTTGCAGGTTTTTTTTTAATGATGGTCTAACAGTAATCGGTTCATGATTTCATTGATAACTGAGTTCCATGAAATTTTTTTCTATTGTTTAACATATTTATCTTGTCAAATTAAATACATCAGGACAGAACACAGCATGATTACACAAATTAACTAACAAACAGTTTAAAGAAATAAAATTCATACAAGGTGGGTTCTCAACTAACTACTTCACTTCCACAGAGAAAAAAAACGTTGAATAAAATGTTCAAACATTTAGAAGGACAAATTTGTATTTACACATTTTGTGTTTCAGTTTAACATTGAACAAGAAGAAGGAAAGAATAAATATTTCAAACTCAAAGAATCTAGAGAAATGTAAATAAATTTTCAAATGCAGCTTAGAATAGTACAATTAAAATCAAGCAAGATGAGTACTATTTACAGAATGGATTATGTGTTAGAGTTTATCATCAGTTGCTGAACAGCTTAAATTTATATAAGTTATAAAAGCTAATATAAACTCCACCTGGAGCCGTTCTAAACCTACTGGCAGTCCCAATGTAGTGAAGGAGAACACAGGTGACGGCAACCAAATTGTATTTAACGAAAATTACAGAGTTACTCAGTAAAATAGGAAAACCATATCGTAAACCGTTAATTTGCAAATCTTCAATCCATCATCAATCCATTGTCTGACATTTCACTTATTCATGCGTTTCATACAAATTCCATTGTGTTCCCACTCTTCCTTTCTTGGTCTTCCCTCATCTTCTGCTGCCAGACATCACGTTTACACTCACGTCATATACTAGTTATAAGTAGCACGCACCACACTAAGCCTGGAAAAATGAGGAGAGCTGGGCATGGCATTAGCGACTCAAAACTATAGAAAAAATAACTCACTAAAATGAGACGCTAACCAGGAATAAATAAATCAAACCATTTGGACTCTGCCCTGGAGGTTAGAACGTCTTCAGTTAGAAGAGTTATGAAAGCCAAATTTGTTTGGAAGTCACGAGGCCGGTCTGCATTTTTGATGCTTTACGCCGAGAAATGGAGACACACATTACAAGAATAAACAAAATTTGGGCAGAACTGGAAAAGTTGGCCTACGATAGGGTGGGTTGG